CAGCCTGTCCACAGGTGAGGGATAATGGAATGACCTTCAAGGAAGGTTAGCTGCAAAATAAGCAGGGGTAACTCTGATGGATAAGCAGTTGTGGACCAAGCACTAATAGGATGTAGTGGGGATAGCAGGTGGCAATGCTTTCCCTCCTGAAAAGCTGCATACATCCTTTGACAGTGCTGTGACATGGTGAGTACAGGTTGCCATTATAATAAGCCTATCCAGCCCCCAGCTATAGGTCTGCAAGTCCTCAACAGCAGAGCAGATGGAAGATGCTAGCATTTCAATACTGCAAAAGAGGATGAGTCTGCAGTAGAATGATATGTCCAACTGTCTTGGCCTCCTTGCCATTGGAGCAAGTTTTCATTCTGTTACGATCCAGGTGCAAGCTGATGTGCAGCAGCTTCTCCATGATAAAATAAATCAGCACAGGCATCTTCCATGAAAATGGCTTTGCCAGCACATATGTAACACTGATTATTTTTAAGTTTTAAATAAAGTAATTGGATGATATATTTGCATCTGATGAAGTGAGCTCAGGCTCACAAAAGCTTATGCATAGCTGAGTTAAACAGTCTATAAGGTGCAACTTTACCCTGCCTTCTGCCTGACCTCAGACTAAGATGACTAACTCCTGCCCTCTGCTTGATGACATACATTTAGCTGCAAGAATAACATGCAAGTGTCGTGAGGAAAGTTAGTCTAAACATCACAATAAAATGCAAAAAATTCAAAGGATTGAAAACTGCTACTTAAGTCATACTAATAGTGGACCGGATTCCAAAAATGCCTCACTGAATAGGCACTCACTCCTATTCCAAGTTTCTGGCCTCATATCAATCACTGGCATTGCTTATGGAGTAACGGTGTCAGAATCAGGCCCCCAGCAGTCCTGCTGATTTAAGTGTAATGACTTGTGGAGTAAGGTGCGTGACGCTGGCAGGATCTAGCTCGCTAGAAATCATACTGCCTAGGGCCAGGTCACGCTCTCTCGGAAGAGTTAAGATGGATGTAGTTCTTCTCTCGCAGCAGCCCGCAGCAGCTTTCTCCAGCTATGGATGCAGGGTGGGTTCTGACGTCTCTGCTCACGCTGAGTCATATGTACCTTACGGGATTAGCAATATCCTTGCAATCACAGTGTGAATGAGGGTGGCAGGAAGTGGTCCAAGGAACCAAGAAGCCCAGTGTAACAGCTCATTTTTCACTTCATATTTAACGCCTGTTAGATTGTTGTCTCAACCTCATTTTTTTATTCCCCCCCCCACTTGCTGTGATCAATTTTTAGGGCAGGGGAGCAACCCCTGATACTCTGCTCGCTGATTAGCCACTCGGAATGCTTCCAAGTCCCATGTAGTTGTATGTTTAAATACTACATGCACCAACATCTCCAAATCCCTGTGTGCAACTTTCCTAATTTCAATCCTGTACCTCAGGGGAGTGCAGGCCAAAAAGGATGTGAGATCAGCCAAAAAAGAGGTGTTCCTGGCTCCAGAGAGCACTTTGCACCTATTCAGAAAGTGTGTTTGGAAGGTTTTCCACAACTGGAGGCATATAATTTACTCTGGCTGTGGGCAGGCACGGTATTTGTAGTATCCTTTCTAACCACTGCTTTTCAGATCATGCTCCTCTCAATGGGAATAATTATTAAACCACTGTGGATGACTATGGATACTGGGTCAGAAATCTGGGCAACATCAGACCAGCTGTTTCAATAAGAGTGGGTCAGAATTGCTTTTGGCCACTCCAATTGGGATTTTCTTCAGTTAATTTAAGATAATGACTTCATGTTTAAAAACAAAACAAAGCAAAAAAAGAACTAGAACAGTTCATTTTTCTCTGAAAAGGAAAGATCTGGGCCCAAGTCCAGCTCCCCCTGTAGGCAGCTATATGGCTAAAGTTAGATATGTAAATAGCTCTTCGTACCCCTTACATAGATCTTAGATTTGGAGCTCTGATATCCGCTGTCCACCTGTGCAACTAGACTTGGCCAAATGAGTATGCTCATTAAGGATCTGCAGGTCCTTTTCGCCTAGGGATCATGGGCAAAACTTGAATCAAAGTCACATTAAAAGGTGCACCTGCTTGGAAAGATTCAACTCTAAAATGAAAAGTGTCATGATTCTTAAGGTGAAGAGCAGATGGCGTAAGGTCTTGGTAAATTATGAACCAGTCTAACATGCCCAATATAGGACCAAACCAGAGCTCACTGAAGTCAGTGAGAATCAGATCCTGGAATTAAACACAGCCATGGACCCTTGTGTGCAGAGTGTGATACAATGGGAGGAATAATATAAACCCAGAAGTGCAAATGTTTTATAAGCTTCCTGTCTTATACAGTTCAGCATCCAGGAAACAAGTCCAGTATTCCCACTGACTGCAACAGGACTACTGATGTGAAAAAAGATAAAGCCTAAGCAAGTCTCTACAACAGCAGGCCTTAAAATAAGCCAGTAATAACTGCTGCCTATCATGGGTACCCTAGGGAACATCTGCTATAGCCAATTGCCCTTTCTTTTTATTTTTCCTCCTCCTAGCAAGAGGATTATGATTCTCACTGTTGATTAATCCTTTACCAATACTGAATTACAGCAGACTTCCTTTTCTGTTAAAATCACAATAAACTTCCTCCAGTACAGCAGTATCTGTGCTTCCAGTTTCTGTGTAAGGGCCCAGGAACAATTAGCTAACAATAATTAATCACACTGGCTGAGACAGTCCTCCCTCAATAAGCCAGGCCTTATTTGTTTGGATTTTGTAATTTTTAAAAATCTTTCTGTCAGGTGTTACAATACTGAGGCTCTGGGAGATTCATGCTCTGCCTGGTTTCACAAATAGTTTTGGTATCCATATATTAAATGATATACCATACATCTATATAGTAGAAAGGTAAATCTTCATTTTCTGCATACAATTCAACTTCTGTTTAATGTGCACATTTTCCTCACTTTAGAGGACCGTGAAATGCCTCAATTGATGAACCAAATAATGTCCCAATTCCCCCAAAATACACATCTGATCTTTTAGCATTGTTAGGTAAGTAAGCCTAGGTCTGAAGAGACACGTATTTTCTGTTGGTCCTTGACTAGTAATAATTAACCTTAAACCTGGACTCAGAGAGACTGGAATAATTTAGTATCTCTTCTTCCCTCTCCTTCAGAACACAACATGCAAATATGATCCAGAAATAACTTTTCTATTTCACAGCAGCTGGCACAGTCAGGTGTTAAGATTGGCTTTTAACTTATGATCACACTGACTACTAAACAGTATAAATTTTTTGTGGTGACATCTTGCCAGCACATAGCAACTTGGACTACAGTTCCTGTTTTTATAAACTTCCAACCTTTGTAAGTAAAATCCACTTTTACTGTCAATACACTTCAAAATTAACTTAATGCCAGTTTAGATTTCCCCCCGTAATTTTCACATTCCCAGAAATTACTAGAAGAATTAAAAAGCAAAGGAAAAAATAGGCATTTAACTTCACACTTGTATCTGCTGCTTCTTCAGGCTGCCAGCTGCTCATAACCTCACCTCAACTTTTTATTTTCTTGGGTACATCTGCCACTTCAGAAGTGTGATGACACAGAAGAATCAATAAAACAAAGTTAGTACAGGTTTTCAAAGCTTCCTGTGTGCCAGGACATTGCTTAGATTGACACAGTCCAGAAAAACACAGACTTCAGTAGACCAAGGAACCTGCAAACACTTAGTACTGCCAAAGGCTTCAATTCAGCAAGGAAATAAGCACGTGCGTGACCTGAAGCATGTGAGTAATCCCATGAAAGTTAACAGAACTAGTCAGTTATAAGCACTTTTAAGTATCTGAGTAAGTAGTTAAATATGTGATTAAAGATAACATTTCTCAAAGTCTCTTGCTTAACTTTACTACTGTGGCTTGTCCCAGTATGACTTCAAAAACTTCTTTCTGAGGGAGTATGATCCAGACCTAACTGAAGCCAATGGCAGTCTTCCTTGGCTTCACCAGGCTTGGGACCAAGTCCCTCAAGAGTTTCACTGAAGTCGCTGAGATTATTTGCAAGAGTTTGCAGGGTCAGCCCTTAAGGTTCACCTGTAAGAATCCCTCCCAGGGTGCCAGGAGGACTGTGCGTTCTTCAGGAAGGAAGAGCTAAAAGTACACAAACCTGGAGCTCTACAGACCTTTGAAATGGAATAGACATCTGACAATTAAAACCGAGACACACCTAGAAAGCCTAGTGGTTAGGGTACTTGCCCAGGGAGAAGGAAACCCAGATTCTCAGCAAGATAAGTTTAAATTGGATATTACAAAACACTTTCTCACTCAGACTGTAGTAAAACATTGGAACAGGTTACCTAAAGAGGTGGTGGAATCTCCATCCTTGGAGGTTTTTAAGACCCAGCTAGACAAAGCCTTGGCTGGGATGAAATAGTTGGGGCTGGTCCAGCTTTGAGCAGGGGTTTGGACTAGATGTGACCTCCTCAGGTCCCTTCCAACCCTAATTTTCTATGACTGTGTGGGGTTTGAACCTGTCTCCTGCTCCTCAGCACAGTGCTTTAACTCCTTTAACTGCTTTGGGCAGATAAGGGGCACTTAACATGGCTAGCTGTAGCTGCTTAGGTGGCATTTTGAGGGGTTAATCCCCACTATGCCACTTGCCTTACCCTTCTAAGCACACTCAGAAGATCCCGTTCTGGCTCCTTACTATTTGTGGTCATCCTATGCCTCCCAGGTAGGCATGTGAACGTCTCCATAATGGTAGCTGAAGACCAACTGTATCTAGCAACTGATGGAAGAGGAGGACCTTCCCACCTTTTAGTGAAATAGCCTAGGGATTAGGAGTCTTTGCTCAATTACACTGGTGCACACCAGAAATAATTCCCTTGAAATCAGTGGAGTTTCACCAGTGTAGCACTGGTGCAAACCAGTAAAGCCTGAAAGTTTTTCTGGATTCACAGTTTAATTGAGGATCTGGTTCCATACGAGCGGATCTCTCATGAACCTCTGAAGATTGAAGAGTTACCTTTTTCAAATTTTGCTGGATAGTTGTGCTGTCTCTGTCCACAACCTTCAGCATTTCTTGGCTTGCCATGTAGAGGATATTCGCTGCAGAGAAAGAAAACAAACATAAAATTACAAAATAAATCTCTTAATGAAAAACATGGGCTTAAGCTTGAAAACAGGTATGACCAGCTATATTGTCTCTGTAGACAATCCCACTGAAGACAACACAGCTGATAGACAGGGCCTCCATGGAGGGCTGCTGCATACCAAGCAATATACGGCTCATTTTCAGGGAAATCCATTTTTCACTTGACCCAACCCATCTGCTCTCAGCTTTTTGGGTGGGATATCTGAAAGAAGATAATTGGGGAGCAAAAGGAAGTATTGCTTATGCAATATATTATTTCTTTGTTCCTTCTATCATTCTCTTTGGAAGAGTAAAAAGTAACGCGTAATTCTGAGAAGCTTGAGGACATTTATTTGCAAAGTGCATTGTGAACACAGAGCTAATCTTCTCAACAACCTATAAGTTAGGCAATTTAGTATTTTATTGTTGCTGTTGTTGTCATATTGCCTACAGGTCCCAAACACAGTGTCCTACTGTGCTAGGCACTGACATAACAAAAAGACAGTTCACCTCTCTAGGAATGTACAGCCCGAGTATGATCCTAATTGAATAGGTAGATAAGGGATCAAAGATAAAAAGTTGAAATTCTGGCTCCTTGGGAGTCCATGGTGGAGCTGCCGAACAGTCAGTTGTGGAGGATCAGAGGCAAAGTAAGCATCACAGCTAGAAGCAGAATGTGGAGCTGTTTGGTTCTGAGCCTGGAATTCAACCCATACGATCAGACCTCTTTTTTACTTGAAACAGGTAAAAACCTTTCGTGAAATAACAAAAAAATATTTTTCCTGGTGACAGCATGATTTCTTTTGCATGCACGAATATGGCCATCATTTCAAAGCCAGAATAACTAAGTAAGAAACACCTCTTATGTAGAACAACCTGTCCAAACTTCCTCTAAGCAACTGCAGGTTTTCCACAGAATTAAGATATTCTCAAACTTTGAGGAAACAACTTTTGCTCCTTAAATGGGCAGCTTCAAGGTGATTACTTTTTAGATGTGAAACTTCAATTGACAGCACACAGATGGACTGCTGAACTGAAACATTATTTTGTACGCTGCACATACTCAAGTGAATATTAGCAACACACTGTGGATCCTTTTGGCAATAAATGTCTTTGCCACTTTGCTCCCTCCGCCTGCTCTCAGGGCTTTGCTGAATTATAATTCCTGGGCTGTATACAAAAGAACAAGTATTCATATTTAAATAAATCAAATATGGAAATATTCAACACTATAAAAAATGTAAACTCTCACTGTTGTTTGATATGGCACTTGAAAGGTAACAACTCAGATTGCAGCTGTAAAGCAGATGTATAAATCCATCTGATGATCTCTCAAAAACATCACCATGTAGTCTTACTGATTTTAGTGGCAGCAGTGGGTGCCTGGTGTCTCTGAAAACTGGATCAGCCTAAATATTTCTAGATTCAAAGGTTTGGAGGACTGACAGGATCAGTACGCTCATCTACCCTGCACTCCTGTACAATACTGATACAGATGGTTGACCAGTAATTCCTGTGTCCAGCCCGGATCTTCTGGTTGAGCGAGGGCACGGTTTATAGGTTACCTTGTAAGTGTTACAAATGATTCTCCACATGGATCATTTATAAAGCAATCCAGGATCATGCCAATGGAAGGTAAAACAGATTGTACTTAAAGGGTGCTGCATGACCTGAACTGGAGCACTTCTGTACCTGCTCATGTTTGTCACAACCCTACGCCAAGAGGGACCGTTCTCACTGTCAGCATGGACTGCAGGGGTTTTTGCCTCCCTCTATAACAGATGGCATGGCATTTTTCCTGGGATATTGTGAGTATATTTTAATAAACTACTTAGGTCCTTGCAGATGGTGCTCTCATCCCCTGGGTTCACCCATGGTGGGTTAAGGTGTTCTTGGTGCCTTGAGTCAACGTTCCTGATAGCTGTGCAACAGGGTTATTTGTGTAGTTTTAAGAATAGGTTAGACAAGCATTTTTACAGGATGGTTGGATGGGGATGACTCTGTGTTGAGCAGGGGGGTGGACCAGATGATCTCCCGAGATCCCTTTCAGCCCCACTTTTCTATGATTCACTCTTGAAAGGGTTGACATCCCTTTCCTCCTTTCTCCATCTGGCTAGTGCTATATGCTGATGCAATGCCAATGGTTTCGCTTTTACCCTGTTACTAGAAGTTGATGCCTGTGTGCTCTTTGGAGCGCAGGGGTTTCCTTAGCTCTGGTGGGGAGAACACAAGGATGTGGTGACAAATACCTCCCTCCTTTTTCTCTCCTTTCCATAAACCTGAACAAGCACTAGCAACAACCAAATCTGCAGCTTTCTGTGACCAAAATGCCCTCTAAGACACTAACTCTTCCTGAGACGCACAGTGGAAGCATTAATTTCTGTGACATTTTGGTATCTGCACCAGGGGAGGGTTGCGCACAAACAGTTAATGAAGGCTTCAGGCCCCATGTGCTAGCACATTCCCACATCGTGTGCTGATGGAGGAAATGGCAATCACGCAGGTCTGTGGTGGTGACCAAAAACAGTCTGTTTGGACAAGTTCCAGCAATGCTCTGAGGAAATGGAAATGAGAACAAATGCCACTAGGGAGAGAAGTGATGTTCAAGAGATCAAGTGTTAGAAGACATTGTGACTTCTCTCAAAATCAAAACAAAAAAGGACCTGGAAAGCAGGAGCTGCTGCTAATCCAGGCTCTGCCTCCTGCAGAAAGCTGGATCCTTACCCTGCACACTCCCGTAGAGTCCTGAGATGAGAGCTGGATAAAAGGTTGTCACACGATTGCCTTTCACAGACTCATAGAGCAGTAGGGCTGGACAGGACCTCCAAAGGTCATTTAGTCCAACCCCCTGCTAGAGGCAGGATCATCTCCATTGAGACCATCCATTACAAATCCTTGTCCGACCTATTAGTAAGACTACACATTTAACCCTGACATACAACCACAAGGCATGACACCCTAACCTGCCACAGATAAAGGAAGGGGACAATGGCAGCCAATGTCCTGCTGCTGTAAGGGTTGTTAAAATATGCCTGAGAGATCCAGGGAAGAGGGTCATGCTCCTCGCTACGGAGTAAGGCAAAACCTTCATGGTCTGTGCCAATCTGACTATGGGTTAAAATCCTTCCTCCCTCCCCAATATATGACAACTGGCTTGACTCGGAGCAGAGGGGTAAGACCCTTTAGCCAGGAACTTCTGGGTGTAAATCTCAGCAGGAGCACTGGCACACCCTAGTCAAAATTCAATGACCAACTGCAGCCAAGGCCCAATGCTTCTGAGGAAGGTGAACCCCTCCTTCCCCCACTGCACACAAGTAGCAACAGTAGGGAAAGAAATCCTTTCTAGTCCCATGTGGCAACCAGCAAAGCCCAGAAACATGGGAAATACCCATAGCAGAGCATAGGCATAGCTATTCTTTGATCATCTCTGACCAATGCTTTTCTAACTTTTCTTGAACTCCTCCAATGATGAAGGTTTCTTTACTATTCATTCCATCCAGGAAGAGAGCACACACCAACTGCAGAGGCTTCCTCAGCCTAACGAACGGTTTTTAAACCTGAAAGCTTGCTAAAATGTTATTTTCCCCAACTATTTAACTATTGGTTTAATAAAAGATATCAGATTCACCCGAAGAAGCTTGTCCTCCAATGATGGAGAGTCCATAACTTCCCTAGGCTGTCTATTCCACTGGTTCACTCTTCCAACATGACGTTTTTCTGGATATCCCATGTAAACCTAATTTGCTGCAACTTCAAGCCACTGGTCCACATCCTGGTCTCTGCAGAAGGGAGAAAAGGTGTTTTCCCTCTTCTTTATGGCAGTCCTTCAGCTATTTGAAGTCTAATATCATATCCCCTCTTAGCACCTTTTCTGTAAGCTGAACATGACTTACATGAGACAATACAAAGGTACTGGAGAATCTGGCAGCATTTGAATTATAAAATTCATCAAAGTTATGTTTTTTGATATTAATGGCATGGAGGCCTGATCTAGACATCCACAGAGCCCAATGTGCTGGACCACCCCAGGCTGTTGTGCAGCCTGCTGCTGGCAATCAAGTAACCTAATCCCTCTGAACAGCAATAGCGCAACAGCAAAACCCTCTCAATCTCCCCAAAACAGAGGCTGGAGCCAATCATTAAAACCCCTCTTTCTCCTCAATACACCTTCAACCTCTGCCAGTATGTCCATTACAAATCTTTTGTTTTTATGACTAAAAGGGCATCTTGTGGGGCAAAGTCATGTTTATTTGAAGAGAGAGGCAGGAGGAAGAAACCCCTGTCCCTGACTGCTCACTGATTTCAAATTCTGTTTTCCCAGACAGAGCAGATATAACCCCAGTGTTCAAAGCCTTTACCCTCTAAATGTCAAAAACAATTTCTGTGGGAGGAGGTAAAGGTAGGGCATCCATAAGAGTCAACAGTACTTGGTGTGCTGGCCTTTCAGGTGATACTTGCTAATATAAGCTTCTCATTTGTTTGATGTTAACAAAGAAAATCCCATGAGGCATTGTGTGTAGGAGCACCGATGGCCACCCTTACCACGGCCCCTCTTCCCAAAAAACGTACTCACCTGTTTACCGTCTTTTCTTCGTCAATCTGGAGGTGACTGCTTGTCAGTTGTACCTCAAATATAATCAGATCTAGCTCCAGTTGGAGCCAATGAGAGTTTAGCCACTCATTTCCAAAAGCAGCAGGACCCAGTATCTTGGGATGAAAGAGGCTATGAACAAATACAATACTGACCAACACTGGAATTTGACAGGTCACCATCAGCTACAATCCTGCTGGGGATAATGCATGTGGTTTCCTGGTCTCAGCTCAGCCCAGCAGTGGGTGCATCTATACATGCCCCTGACTGCGCAGTTATTACTGTGCAGTCATTTAGTATTTGCTTTAGCAAGTACTAAATGACTGCACAGTAACTGCTGTTAGTGCACAGTCCCGGCAGTGCACGTATCATTTCCAACCCTAC